TGTGTGTGTGTGTGTGTGTGTGTGTGTGTGTGTGTGTGTTGCATGTGCAGAGGCCAGAGAAAGACAGTGGTGTCCTGCCGTCAGTCCCCACCACATTCTCTTGAGTAGGGTGTAGAGCTAGGTTCGCAGTCAGCAAACCCCAGCAGCCCTGTCTTTGCACCTCCATGGTGCTGGGTTATAGATGTGCACTTTGAAAGGGTCTGTTTATGTTTAGGAGTGCTTTGTCTGAGTTATGTCTATGCACCACGGTGTTCCTTGTGCACTGGAGCCTTTGGATCTGGAGTTAGAGATGGCTGTGAGGCCCTACACTGGTGCTAGGGTCCAAACCCAGGTCCTGTGGAAGAGCAACCAGTGCCCCCAAACGCTGATCCATCACTCCAGCCCCAAGAATGCCCTTTTTACTTGGGTGCTGGATTCAAACACAGGACTTGGTGTTTACACAGAGAGCATGCGTGTTGGCTAGCATTGTGTCAACTTCACACAGGCTAGAGTCATCTGAAAGGAGGGGCCCTAAGCTGAGAAAATGCCTCCATAAGATGCTGCTGTGGAACATTTTCTTAGTGACTGATGGGAGAGGGTCCAGCCTGGTGTGGGTGGTGCCATCCCTGGGCTGGTGGTCCTGGCTGCTCTAAGAAAGCAGGCTGAGTAAGCTTTGAAGGGCAAGCCAGGAATCATCACTACTCCATGGCCTCTGTGTCAGCTCCTGCCTCCGGGTTCCTGCCCTGTTTGAATTTCTCCTGGCTTCCTTCAGTGATGGACTATGATGTAGAGCCTAAAGCAAATGAACCCTTTCCTCTCCAGCTTGCTTTTGATCGTGGTGGTTCAGAACAGCAATTGTAACCCTAACTAAGGCACACTTGTACCTACCGAGCCATCTCTCCAGCCCCACTTAGGTTTCTTTCATGAATGTCGGAGCCAGAATCCTCCAGCTTTAAGTCTTACTGAAAGCTTGCTTACAGCTGAGGATCACGGGTGAGGTAGGAACAGTATGAGGGATGGGTGTGACGTGTTTCCTAATCACCCTCTCAGGAGAAGGGGAAGGAGATCTTCTCTGGCTTGTGAGGCACAGGCAGGAGCCACACAGCGAGCAAGCCTTGTTTTCCTGGGTGCACAGCACCCGCTGGTCCAGCTATGGATGTTTTGTGTGTACACACGTGTGCAAGTCCATGTGGGTACGGGCATACATGGGCATAGGTGTGTGCACACCTATGGAGGCTAGAGGACAAGTTCAGGTGTCATTCTTCAGGTATCATCCAACTTGTTTTGCTTTTTTATTATTATTATTATTTCATTTTGTTTTGTTTTGACAAGGTCTTTTCACTGAGCCTTAATCTTGCCAAGTAGGTAAGATTAGACTGTCTGGCCAGCAAGCTTCCGGTATCTCCCTGTCTCCACCTCCCCGGTGCTGGGATTATAAGCATTAGCCACCACTATTAGCCTGGCGTATTTACATGAGTTCTAAGAATCCAACTCCGGCCCTTGTGCATGCAAGGCAAGCACTTTACTGACTGAGACATCTCCTCAGATCCCAGCATGCATTCATGTTCAAATGATGCATCCTCCATGAAGAAATGTCCCCCAGCGTGAACACACTGGGCTTCTGCCCAGAACCACAGCACTGAGAACAAAATATGTATTTTTCAGGCCACAATTCCCTTTATCTGAATTTTAGTATTTGTCATTCCCACTCTAAGCATAATACCCAAACAATTGAAGGGATTTATAGCTTGAATTCGGGGCATGGAGAGAAGGGGATTCCCAGCCCTGTGGACTACCTGGTCCAGCAAGTGCAGCCGCTTCACGTAGGCCTCCTCAGTGTGCAGGAGCTCCCGGGCAATGTTTAGCCGCTTCTGTGGGTCAGAGCACTGCAATGAGAAGGGAAGCCACTTACTGGGGGGGGGGTGCATCTAACGAGGCTACCCACAATACACCAGGATGCAGAGAGAGCAGGAGGAGACTCCTGAGTCTCAGATGTGGTACTTATTTCTCTTAGATGCTATTTCTATGGAGAGTTCTAGAAAAAGCACAGCAGTTTCTGCCAATCTCCCCAAAGCCACTGCAGTCCAGATGGAACTGTTATGGTTCTGGACCATAGGGAGCAGGCCTATGGTCCAGTAGGGAGCAGCCATAGCAACCACATCAGAATCCAATGTACATCTGGGGTGCAGTTCAGTGAAAGAAGATTTGCCTACCACATACAAAACCTAGGATTCCATCACTAGTAACACACATGTACACATATATACACATATGTACATGTACGTGCCCTACTTAACTATGTAAAGATATGTCACATTTGTTTATGCTGCATATTATTACTTTAACTGTGTAAAGGTTGTTACATTAGTTTCTGCTGCCTTTGTTAATGATGTAAAGATGTTCCTGCCACATTGGTTTTTTTGGCATTTGTTAAATTATATAAAGATATGCTGCATTTGTTTCACCTGGCCTGTCTAAGGCACTAAAAAGTTGAGCTGTCAATAGCTGGGCAGGAAAGGGATAGGCGGGGCTGGCAGGCAGAAGAGAATAAATAGGAGGACTCGGTCATCCCAGGACTCAGGAGACAGGCAGACGGATGTCTGTGAGTTCAAGGCCACCCTGGCCTCCACAAGAGTGAATCAGTCTAAAAGAATAACAGAGCTCACACCTTTAATCCCAGCACTAGAGAGGTATAAAATGAAGACGCACAGGGTCTGATTTGAGATTCAGTTTCCAGACAGGGAGAGCATTAAGTCTGAGGATTCGTAGAGACAGGATGGCCATTTCAGCTTGGTAGAGGTAAGAGCTACTGGCTTGGCTGCTTTGTTTTTCTGATCTTCAGCTTGAACCCCATATCTGTCTCTGTGCTTTTATTATTTGTGTTCAAAACAAAACAAAACAAAACAAAAATCCTGAAACGTATTCCACAGTTATGAAGGCTGGAATTTCAAGATCAAAAGCACTGGCGGGTCTGGTGTTTGGTGAAATCACAAATCTCTGTGTCAAAATGGTGACGCTAATGCTTGAGCTCACAGTGTCGAAGGGTGGAGAGGTGAAGAGGGATGGATGCTGCATCCTCAAATGATAAAGGAACAGAAGAAACGGAACCCACAAACTCCTCCCTGATCCCCATTTTATTGTACAGTGCTGGGGATTGAACCCTGCCCTGAACACATCTTAAGGCAAGTACTCTGCATCTGGGCTACATCCTCAGGCTGTCTCCACTCCCTTCTGTGGGGACATTGACTCCATTCTCATTACTTAACATCTCCTAAAGGCTTAACCATGAAACAGACTATGATGCCAGCATCACCACATTGGTGACAATACTCTAGCAGGTGATTTTGGGGTGCATATTCAATCTATAGCAATGCCTTTCAGCATCCCCCTCTTTGAAATTTGGCAAGGAGCAAGGGAGAGAGAACCTCCACATCAGGGCTCCTCCCACGCCAGGGCCCTTCCACTCCGGGACTGCAGGGCAGAAACAGAAAGCTTGGCCAGGCACTGACAGGTCTGGCTCCTCAGGGCTCTACCCAGGGGACTTGGGACTGTGGACTCTGTCTTGCATGAGTAGAGAGCAGATGAACCAGGAACAGGCATATGAAAGCCTCTGAAAACAAAGGCCAGCAGCACACCAGGATTCCGGGTCCACAGGCAGATGCTCTGAGCTCCCAACTGTGTTGATGGGTAAAGTCTGGATGGGTGAAATTCTTCAAATGTTCCCATCCAGCCCAAACTAAAAGCAGCAAACAAAACTTATAAACCAGACAAAGAAGCAGGAGAATATGGCCCAACCACATGAATAAAGCAACCCCCTTGAAGTTGACCCTAATGAAATACAGATCTGGTACTTAAGGGAGTCAATTCAGTCAGCAAAGTCCTTGCCACATACGCACAAGAGCCTGAGTTCAGTCCTTGGTACTTATGTAAACAGCCAGTCATGGTGGCATTCATGTTAATTCCAGTACCGGGTTGGGAGAGCTGGGTAGATCCTTGGGGCTCTCTGGCCAGACTAATCAGTGGGCACTAAATCCCAGTGAGAAACACTGTCTCAAAAAACCAAGGTGGACCAGGCAGTGATGGCGCAGTCTTTAGTCCCACCACTGTTGAGGCAGAGGCAGGTGGATCTCTGTGAGTTCAAGGCCAGCCTGGTCTACAGAGTGAGTTCCAGGACAGCCAGAGCTGTTACACAGAGAATCCCTATCTGGAAAAAAAAAAAAAAAAAAAAAAAAACACCCAAGTACACATACATGCGTGTGCAACCCACACACACACACACAGACACACACACACAAAGTTCTATGAGTTACTTGATAGGGGAAAAATCTGTCATAAATGTGCTAAAAAGAAAATCAAGAAATGACATATCAGCAAGGAACACCATCAACAGGGCTAAAAACAAAACCATTAAAAAGAATGAAGAAGACATTCAGGAGTTGAATAGCCTGCGGAGCTCATTTACAGGCAAAAGAAATAGCAAACTTTAAGAGAAGTCATTCGAATAGATAAAATTGTTGTGATCTCTACTTTTTATTTTGCATGTATGGGTGTTTTTGCCTGCTTGTGTCTGTGCACTTATGCATGCAGTACCCGTGGGTACCAGAAGAGGGCATCATATCCCCAGACATTGGAGTTACTGATGGTTGCCAGTAAATGGTAACTGAACCCAGATCTTCTGCAAGAGCAACCAGTGCTCTTAACCCACAAGCCATCTCTCCTGCTCCCAAAGAAGTCACTTAAAATCAATCAGTGAGAAAAACCAAGAAAGAATGAAGAAAAGTATTAAGGATTCTAAAGGACTTTCAGGACATCTTCTGGTAGACCAGGATCTCCATCTGACAGTCACAAAGGATAAAAGACAAAAGTCATTTGCCGAAATGATAACAAGACTTCCCAATCTTAGGAAATAAATGAACACACAAATCTAAGAAACTCAAAAGAACAGCTGGACGGTGGTGGCCCAAGCCTTTAATCCCAGCACTCCAGAGGTAGAGGCAGGCAGATCTTGGTGAGTTTGACGTCAGCCGGGTTTACAGAGTGAGTTCCAGGACAGCCAGGGCTGTTACACAGAGAAATCCTGTCTTGAAAAAAGAAAGGAAAACAGGAAGAAAGAAAGGAAGGAAGAAAGAAAGAGAGAGAGAGAGAGAGAGAGAGAGAGAGAGAGGAAGGAAGGAAGGAAGGAAGGAAGGAAGGAAGGAAAGGAAGGAAGGAAGAAAGGAAGGAAGGAAGAAAGGAAGGAAGGTCAAAAGAATTCCAACTAGAATAAGTAACCAGCCACCTAGTTCATGTTTGTAATCCTGACACCCATGAGGCTGAGGCAGGAGAATGGTGAGGTCAAAGTCAGCCTGGGCTACACAGAGAGGACCCTTTGACAATAACAGAGGAGGCAGCATACAAAGGCACCCTATGATAAAAAGATCTAAAAGTCAAAGACAGCATTAAAGGCAGCAGGAGAGAAATGGTTGGTTTCATGGGCAGGAGCTTCCACGGGATTTCCAGATGCTTCCTCCATGGAGCCTTTGAGGGCCAGAGGGAATGGACGGATATATTGAGTGCTGAGAGAAAACACTGTCTGCCAACGCTATAATGCCAGGTGAAACTGTCCTTCTAAGACAGAGAAACTAGGAATTTCCCAGAAAGGGGCTGTACAGCTGGCTCAGCAGTTAGGAGCACTTGTTCCCCTTGCAGAAGAACCCGGCGTGACTCCCAGCCTCAACATGGAGGCTCATGACCATTTGTAATACAGTCTCTGTCCTCTGTCAGTACCAGGTGTGCGTGTGGTACTCATTCATACATTGCAGGCAAAACATCCAAACTCACAAAATAAAATAAATCTTCAAAGAATTTGTAAAGGCTTTCCTGGAAAAACAAAGGCTGAAAGCGTTTACTATTATTAGACCCACACTCCAAAAAAAAAAAAAATTATGAAATGAGTCTTGGGACTGGGGAGAAGGCTCTTCAGTTAAGAGTGCTGTTGTGCAGCCGGGCATTGGTGGAGCAAACCTTTCATCCCAGCACTTGGGAGGCTGAGGCAGGTGGATCTCTGTGAGTTCAAGGCCAGCCTGGTCTCCAGAGCGAGTGTCAGGATAGGCTCCAAAGCTACACAGAGAAACCCTGTCTCGAAAAACCAAAAAAAAAAAAAAAAAAAAAAAAAAAAAAAAAAGTGCTGTTGTGCAACCTTGAAGACTGAGTTCAGACACCAGCGCGAATGTACAAAGCTGGGTGTCTTACCCACACCTGTAACCAGATCCGAGGGGCCTGGAACAGAAGGATTGCTGGGGTTTGCTGGCTTCAAGCCTGATGGAGAAAATATGAGCCCCACGTTCAGGAAAAGACCCCATCTAAAAGCAAAAAGCAAAGAGTGATAGAAAGGACACCTGATGCCAGCGGTGGTGGTGCACACCTTTAATCCCAGCACTCAGGAGGCAGAGGCAGGTGGATCTCTATAAATTTGAGGCCAGCCAGGTCTACAAAGTTACAAAGTGAAACTCTGTCTCAAAAAACCAAAAAAAAAAAAAAAAAAAGGACACCTGATGCCTTCTTCTGATGTAGGTATGTACAGGGACATGCAGTTTCTCCCCTACACAACACAGACTCATACATACTGTGGTGGTTTGAATAGAAATGGCCCCCATAGACTCCTGTGTTTGAATGCTTGGCCCATAGGGAGTGGCATTATTAGGAAGTGTGTCATCATGGGGGAGGGCTTTGGGGTCTCCTATGCTTAAGCTATGGCCAGGGTGGCACACAGTCTTCTTCTGCTGCCTGTGGATCAAGATACAGAACTCTCAGCTCCTTCTTTAGCACTATGCCTGCCTGCGTGCCACCCTGCTCAGACTAAACCTCTGAGACTGTAAGCCACCCCAGTTAAATGAGCCCCACGTTCAGGAAAAGACCCCGTCTAAAAGCAAAAAGCTGTGGTTGCTGGTGGCGCACGCCTTTAATCCCAGCACTTACGAGGCGGAAGCAGGTGGATCCCTGTGAGTTCGAGACCAGCCTGGTCTACAGAGCAAGTACCAGGACAACCAGACGACCAGAGCTACACAGTGAAACCCTGTCTTGAAAAACCAAAACGGAAAAAAAAAAAAAAAAAGAGTTGCAGTGGCCATGGCGCCTCTTCACATCAATAGAAACCCTAAGACACATACTAATAGCAAATAAACAAGTAAATACATCTTTGGGGAGAAAAGAACGGCAAAAGAAGTCCTTCAAACAGTGTGTCCGTAGCTGTTAACATAACAGTGCTAGTAGCTGTCTGTCTGTATGTATGCTAGAGAAAAGGGATCAGCCATAGAGGTTAAATGATCTGCTTGTCCCTTATCAGTACAAGCTGGGTCTTGGACACACATTGTATTGAATGTTTTATGGTCTAGCCTTTTCAGTTGAGGCACTTTTTGGACAAACCTTTGTTCTGGTTTGAGGGGACCTATTACGGAGGTTCTGTGTTTGGTTCAGTGTTTGTTTTGTGGGTGTCTGCCTCATCCCATCCCTGAGCTTTGAAAGTAGACAGATGGATTCCAAACTGAGGTGTGGATTGTACTAAAGGAATCATTTGCAGTAGCCATAGACCCCTTTCCCACTAAAGAAAGGGGAGGGCAAAGCCACCCACGAGACAGGCGAAAGTTAAGTTGCTACAATTCCTTGATAGGAATTTCACATTTGCATTTTGTTGCTCTGTTTCCGGAAATAACTTGAGATGCTGTGTGTTGTCCCTCTGCCTTGCTTCCCACCCATTCTTTCACTTAAGAAAAACAAGTCATCGTTGCAGAGTTCTCTTGTTTTTGCAGCTGCCCTTTTGTAAGAAGCACTTTTCCCAAATAAAACAATTTAAAAAAAAAAAAAAGGAGTCCTTCAAGTAGAGATGATAAATAGGGCTACAGATATAGCCCTGTCGGTAGAGCACCTGCCTAGAGTGCAGGAATCTCAGGGTTTAATGCCAGCATCGCGTAAACTGTGTGTGGGTGTGAAGCACATGCCTTCAATCCTACCACTTAGAGCCTAAGGCAGGAGAATTATTAGTTTGGGGTCATCCTGGATTACACATTCGCAGAAAGATTTAACAATAGAAACATTGAATCTAGGGGACTGGAGAGATAGCTCAGAGGTTAAGAGCACTGACTGCTCTTCCAGAGGTCCTGAGTTCAATTCCCAGCAACCACATGGTGGCTCGCAACCATCTGTTATGGGATCTGGTGCCCTCTTCTGGTGTGCAGATATACATGGAAGCAGAGTGTTGTATACATAATAAATAAATAAAATCTTAAAAAAAGAAACATTGAATCTATCTTCAGTGTTCTGTAACATATACAGGTAAATTTGTGAATCAGGGAGGGAGAGGTAGAAAATACTAGAGCTTTGTCAGCATCAAAATGAAACACTGTAGATTTAAAATGTTTTAGTAACAGCAAGGGTAACTAGAAGTTTAACATCTATGAATATGCACAAAAGTAAAAATAGAAGGTATCAAATTACATCATCACAAATATTGATGAAACCAATGCAAAGAAAAATGATTGGGAAGAAAGAAGAGAGAAAGAAAGAGATGAGGTATAGACAGCAACCTTAGGAGCAGCCTTTACATCTTTCCCCATTAGTATTGACTTAATATGTATTCTTCGGGAAAAATACATAGGTCACATGAACTAAAGACAGCTGAAGCTGGGTGTGGCAGCACACACCTGGAATCCCAGCTAGAGGACTGAGAGTATGAGACAGCCAGGCTATGAGGCAAGTCCCCAGCCAGCCTAAGGCAGAAAGTGAGTCAGTCCCCCTCTTCCCCGATCCAACACCATGCAGGTGGCATCCTGGGGCACCAAGAAGCAAGCAAGCAACAGTTAATTATGTTTTGTTTGTTTGTTTGTTTGTTATTTTGAGAAAGGATCTCCTGTAACTCAGATAGGGCTCAAACTGCCTGTACAGCTGAGGGTGAACTTAAACTCCCTCTTTCTTAAATATGTTGTTGTGGAATAATCTTTTTGTATACTGTGAATATTTGTCACTCTGATTGGTTTAATAAAAAGCTGAGTGGTCAATAGCTAGGCAGGATTTTCAGGGCAGAGAGGACGCCGAGAAGAAGGACAGAGATGGAGGAGGCAGGAAAGCAGGGGCCATACAGAATAAAGGTAATAAAGCCACATGGCAGAAAGTCAATTAATAGAAAGGGGTTAATTTAAGTTATAAGAACTAGTTAGGAACAAGCCTAAGCTATCGGCTGAGCTTTCAGAATTAATAATAAGTCTCCATGTCGTGATTTGGGAGCTGGCAGGAGGGACAGAAAAATCTACCTACATATGCTACTCCCAAGAAACTCATTTTGTATATTTGCATACAGGAACACACATGATGAAAGTGGGGAATGATAGGAGAATATGTCCTATGCAAATAGCAACACCCCCAAAAAAGTGAGTGGCCTTATTTTTAGCAAACAGAGTAAGATGTTTGTCACTAAACCTGGTGACCTGAGTTCAATCTTTGGGACCTACATGGTGGAAAGGAAAGAACCCATTTCACAAAGCTGATCTCTGACGCCACACCCCCCCTCCACACACTAAATAACCATGTTTTTTTTTTTTTTTGTTTTTGTTTTTTTTTGTTTTGTTTTTTTGTTTTTTTGTTTTGGTTTTTCGAGACAGGGTTTCTGTCTCCTCGCTCTGGAGACCAGGCTGGCTCAAACTAACAGAGATTCACCTGCCTCTGCCTCCCGAGTGCTGGGATTAAAGGCATGTGCCACCAACCAACGCCCGGCAAATAACCATGTTTTTAAAAATTAAAAATAATTATAAAAAGCATGATAAAAAGATCACCAAGAAGATATGACAACAATTGAAGTCAACTGTGACACCATTGGGTGGAGAACTAACCAGCAACAAATTAACAGCTAGAAGCCTTGCTACCCATCTTTCTGTAATGGGCAGAACATCCAGACAGAAGATCAGTAGGCAAACCCAGGTCTTGGACACCATCATACACAATGGTTCACACAGCAACACATGATAGATCATGTGCTGCACAAAAAAAAAGTCTTAACAAAGAGAGTTGAAATTATTCAAAATATCTTTTTCAGTCACAACAGAATAAAGCCAGGAAATGGAGAAAATCCACAGATATAGGCAAATTAAGTAACACCGATGCATTCAGGAGGCAGGGACAGGGGATCCCAGGGCAAGCTGGTTAGCTACATGGTAGGTTCAAGAAGAGATCCTGCCTCAATACCTATAACGGAGAAAGGTCTAGGAAGACACGCAGCACCAACGTCGGGCCTCCACACGCCTTCCCACACAGGTGCACATACGCCTGCCTTCTTAAGTATGCCCCCACACATGTGAACACAGACACGCAAAAGACAAGGAAAGAAGTGCTGGCATAGCACTTATCTATCACGTACAAGGTCCCGGGCTCCATTCCCAGCACCAGAAAATATATATATATATAGAGAGAGAGAGAGAAACAAAATCTTGAAACAACCTAACTGCACATATTGAAAAACTAGAAGAGCAAGAGTAGGCTAAGCCCAAGGCTAGGCTAGAAGGAGGAAGGAAGTAAGAAAGATCACAACAGAGATAAAAGGCAAAGAATGGAAAAACAATTTCAGAAGAGTAACCAAGCCAAACTTGGTTTTCTGAAAAGCTCAAGAAAACTCACAAAGTTTATCTAGGTTACCTTACAGAACAGAGAGAAGACTCACTTACTGAAGTCAGAAATGAAAGAGGGGGTGGTATTGTTACAAATGGGGATGTGAAGCAGAAAAGGATATAAGAAAATGAGTGATTATGTGCTAACAAATTGTACAACCTAAAAAAAAAAAAAGAATCCTCAGAAAAAAGGGAAATTAATAAGGACATTGAATCAATAATCCCAAACTTTCCACCAAGGATAAGGGACAGGTGGCTTCACTGACAATTCTACCAAACTTTTAAAGGAGAATTAATAACTATCTATGA